GTACGTATCAGAGACAAGGTAATGTAAAGAATGTATCAAAGTAGCTTTGTAATTAAGATTTTCGAGTTGGTAACTTCAACAAAGCTAAAATAAAACTTCAAAATTATGGGCCGGTTATTTACACGAGGTGTAACCCAAACCGCGCTTTTACGCAAGCAGTGGGCGTTACGTGTTCTCTATAAGAGGGTTTCTAAGTTTTCATGAATTTCCTTCCACTCCTTTCTTTCAGCCCTCCTGACACCGTCCACAAAAATAAATGTTCAGGTAAAAGATTCAGCTAAATTCAAGATAGTTTATAAAGTGGTTTTGTTAAACAACAGATAAACTTTGTTTAAATAACCGGCCCTACACGTTATAAGTTTATTTTCTCAGCTTCGATTTCCCTTGTAATGTTCGAATTACACGAGCTCTAAGAAAAGCCCTATCCGCCAAGATCAGAATTTAATATCAATACCGGAAAAATCTTCCTTTATTTTCTGCGCATTGAAATTTGCATTTGTGGTGTATTGTCTAAGACTGAATCTTTCTAATCAAAAACTTGTGGCTGAGGGTAAATCAATTAAGATTTTCATAATATTTGTTTATTTAGCTGTTATTCTGTGGGTAACATCCATTTAATTCACAGTGCATAGCATTTCTAAACGCATTCGAAGCAGTAACGGGTAAGAGCTGTTGGAAGCTTTTTCGAGGAAACACTTGTTAATACAATTCAAAGAGGCGCCTAAAGGTATTTCAATGTAACAGGTCTTTCTATAATTTAATTCAATAGAAAAACAGGATAAAATTTTAACAATGGGTCCTTTTTGCTGAGCCGGAGAGTCTCAGTAAGGTGATGGCTTTTACGGCTAAACGTTAAAAATTTTATCAATTTTGGACTTACAGTTAATTTCTTTCCCTTATGGTTAAAAAAAAAAAGAGTGACGTTTAGGGTTAACTTTTTTACGACTGAAAATTTGAATTTGTCAGTTTTTACGCCTAACAGTTGAAGTTTATGGCCGTTTTACTGCTATCGGTAAACCCTATTGAAACCACCTATTGAGGCTTACAACACGAAATAGATTGAATTCTGGCAGTGAAGTTCCAATTCCATGACTTTTTACATACTCTTCAAGTAACAGTTTGAGTTACGAAGCTGTCCACAAAACTACTTAAGAGTGGATGTGGAAGCCTTCAGTGAACAGGCTGATAAGATACTTCTAATTGCAGTAACTTCGTTGTAGGTAACAGAAAAAGGGAAAAAGCCACATTCTAGTCTATCGACATATTTCATAAGTATAAGGCATTAATAAGTATACACCGACTCTTTCCTCTTTTTTTTTTAGTTTTGGAATCGCTTGTAATTTTTTTAACAATGTCTAATACTCTCAAGAAGTTTGGAAGAATTTTTTAGTGGAAATTTTGAGAAAATGCTCGGCCGGGCATGTAGTTCTATCTGTTAATATATTCCTATTCAGCCTTTTTTATTTTTTTATTACTTTTTTTCTTTTTTCTCCTTAAGAAAACTTTATTGCAATCAAGTGTATGACTTTAACTTAGGGTAGTAACACTAGTATGAGAGCAGGTTGCGACTCTATGTGTGGGCCGTGGTAAACTTCGTTTAATCTTATCGCGAGTAAAGAAAACGGATTTATACAACTATCTTTTACAATTGCTGATACTGAAGCCAGTTTCTGAGTTATATCCAACAGATACATTAATTATCTGAATAGGACGAAGAACCGGAAATTCACTATATGCAGCTCATTCTTAACAAATTTTCTGATATGATAGTATCATGTTTAAGTTTTTTCTTTTCAAATCGTTGCCAACTAATTTTGATGCCACTTTGGTCGCAAACGTGTGCGTTGCTAAAAAATTTTCGAGTTCAACACTTTCGAAAAAGGCCTGGAAGTCAGTCTTTTCTCTAAGAAACTGAATGCCAGTAAAGGAGGAAAATAAATTGATTGCGTTATCAGAGTGAAATTATACTATATACCTATCAATGGAATCAAGGAAAAAAATTCACTGAAATAACAGTAATTTAAGTTTGAATTTGCTTAAATCGACTTCCCTTGACATTTAGACAGGGTATAAATGAGGTGATAAGAATCTTGTCTGGGTTCGATCATAAGATCGAAAAATTCCAACGTCTCCGCGGACTAATCAAAACGTGGGATTTTCTGTAGAAAAAATTAACGAATTGAAAAAAAAAATTAAGGTAAATAAATAAATTACAAGAAGGAAAATAATGGCTTTAATATGTTCATATTTTTCTTTGTCTCATTCTGATACGAACCATTCAAAGCTTAATGAAGCCCTCCAACACCTAAGGGTTGGCGGTCTACACCTTCTCATTAAAGACAATAAGGACCACATGTGCAGTTTCATTCTTCCCTGTGCAATTTACAGGTGTAGCAAACACTTAATAATGAAGCCGCTATTTGTCCTGTTGGTCATTCTGATGATTGGAGATATTTTCATCACAGTCCAAGGTAAAATTTTCATTCTCAAATTTCGTTACACTTAATAATTTCTCTACTCTTCACTCTTCTTATTTATTTATTAATTTTTTTTTCTGGCATTTGCTTTTCAAAGGAGTTGATATTCAAACAATAACTTTGAACTAAGTTTTGTTTCAGTACAGGTAATGCTAGTTTATGATACAGAACAAGTATCCGTGTAAAATCGAGTGTCTATCTTTCATTTTCTTCTCGTTCTTTCGTATCGGACTTTCGACTCGCATGTGATCAGGTGGTGCAAGTTTAAACCGTAACGAACTTGTGAGCCAACCGACGTCAACATAAGAACTCGGAGAAACAAACCATATAGTTATATGCCTAGACTTCCACTCAACAAAACGAACACTGTGAATGGTTGATTCTTGGTCACGGCCCCTAATCAAATTTAAATGTATTCCGCACGGGATAAAATTGCGCAGTTGTTGCCCACGCACCGAATACAACAACATATTTTGGCCATATGATTGTTTTAGGGAAAGTCTAAATATAAAACAAAGCACTTAATGTATGGTCCCTCGGGAAACTAGTTAGTATTGTTTTCCCGAGAGTCCTGACGTTTCCCTCGGGCCATACATTAAGGGTATAAAGGGTATATTGTTTCTTTAGAGCCATTTAGTAGGTGCTTATCATAATTCAAGAAAAGGGGGGGGCGTCTTAACTTCCCCAAAACTCCACAGTCGCCCAGGAAATCTCGCCTTAAGGACGATTGTTCTCTCTTAGTTTTGGTCCGGCTACCATATCATCTAATGTACCACCTACCCAAAGAAGCTTACGCAACATAACACTAAGTATCAGTCTGTTTCGAATTTTTTCCCATCTAATAGTCAGTTCTAATAATATTTCATTGTATATAGATAAATAGATAAATAGATATTTTTATTTCTAATCCTTTTCTTTTTAGGATAACACGACATAGGGTCAACCTCTATTTCTTCCTCTCCAACATGTTTTCTATTTTGTTTTATATGAATTGTTTCGCGGGTTTGCAGAACTTTCTCGAATTTTCTCAGGCCCCCCCTAGGGTTCTCTATCGCTTAAATTTTTGGGATGAAATCTCGGCCGCGTTGCTCGGATGTGAATAGCGAAGGATTTTCGGAGTTTGAGTAACCAATCAGAGGGTGCCTTCAACGCTATCCACCCTTTTAGTTTAATATTAAAATAGAAATTTAAACTGTTTGTTTGTCTCTTGGTTTGATCATCAGGATCTTCCGTAAAAATTGACATCCGAAGCGAAGGCTGTAATGATCCAGGAAAAACGCCAAATACATGCGGCAGAGCATACATCAAGGTGAATGACGTTGAACACGCTAAACAAGGCAGAGGGCATAATGTTGTTGTCGTGGATGCGGTAACAGGTAAAGATCTTCAGTGTTAGTATTTAAATGCTGCTATTTTTTTTAATAATAATAAAACGTGAAAATTTGGAGAAAAGAAGTAGATCGACTACTTATGAGCATTTTTACGAAGTTATGTCTACCACAGCTGAAGTGAGGAGAATTATCGAAGTATAATGAAACGGTATTCTACAGTATTCTACAATACTGTCTAAAGTCATTAAAAATGCACGAAACGAGATATTTAAACTCTTGCTCATGAAAATAGAAAAAAAGGTAAGGTAACTTATTTTATAGCTCTTAAATTACTCGGCTTTTATTCCAAGAAATATCGAACGTAATCTTTCAATTAAGGAAGTGTGCAAGACTCCGTGGTTTTCGATGCCAAAAAAAAAATATATTTTTCAATGCAGGAATTGTGGAACACTCTGTGAGATTCGACACTCATGGAAATAGTGACGCTGGTAACCAGTTGAAAGGCTTTCTTAACGGGATTTCTGGAGAGTAAGTATCAGTTTGTCTTACAAATTGCAAACACAATTTTTTTTTTGAAATGGAGCCAAATCTCTGAATTGCATAGGGAGTCTTTTATAAATTTCATAAGAAATTTAAACTTGGGGTTCGAAAATTTTGCAAACACATTAGGATAAAGTTGAAAAGGTCTGGCCGAAATGTTAGCACGAAAAAGACCCACAAAGCATTCACTTGGTTTTCCTAACCATACAAACGCACCTAAACATGAAAGAATTTTCACTCATCACGACAATCATTCGGCGTAAGATTTGAACATCGCAATGCGGACGAACAACCAAATCGACTCCAAAATGCTGCTCACTTGCTTACAACCTAGGACTAGTTTTCCCGCTCAATGGGAAAGATGAAGCTCAGTGGTAAAATGATAAATGTACCAGAATATTACTTGAAATCCTTTTTTTCAGGTACAGGTTTTCTTTTCTAAGTTTGAAGTGTTACACATACAGTGAATGAAACTCCGGACTTAACAACATTAAGCCTTTAATTCCTAAGAGTGACTAGCATCTAATTTCTCATTATTATATCATCTCTAAATGACACTTTAAGGCCCCGAGAATAAAAAATATCATCATCAACTTAAGAGGCTCTTAGCTGATTGTTAAACAAATTTTTCTTGACAGCTCTTCAAGGAATGTGTAAAGAATAGCGTGGAATATCATCATATTGATTTTAGGGGTAGAAAGCTTTAAAATCAGCACCGATCCAACAGTAAGCCTCTAGTAAATGTTTATGAAAATTTGGTACATTTAACAATTTCTTTTTCTACTTCAGTAAGATAGTCCTGGTTGCAGTCCAAGACGAGGGTTCTAGATATGTTCAAACAGCTTTTGATGCTCTGACAAGAATGGGAGGCTACGATCTGGGCTTTCTTGACTACCGAGGATCATATGCTCTTGTCGGACACCCAGGAGATCAGAAGCCATCTTATGTTACACAAGTACAGAGCAAGAGTGGGCAGGGACCAAGTGTGATCTCCATGACAGTTCCACTTACGATAAGTAGGTTATATAACTATTACACAACATTTGTACGTGAAAAGTTTAAGTTGTCCTTATGCGATACCTGTATGTATTCTGGGATTTCTTTACGTTTCTTGGATAATACGACCTCCACTATTTTTTTCCGATGAATGTCTCGGCAACCTATCGTTTCAGCCTAACACAACGTTGCTAAGCATACCCTTAATTTCAAATCTAAGTTGCTAAAATTCTAAAATGTTGGCAGTCTGATTGTCACAATCATAGAGTTTGTTTGCTTTCCTGGAATGAATTCACATTAGAGATAATTCATTAAACGTTAACAGAATGTTATTGTTTGAAAAACGTAATCAATGATAATGCCCAAAGAGCATAAAGAAAATCTAGGTAACCGAACTTCAGATTTCAAATGTGTGATAGTGGAAATAACTACCCGTCAGGCGATATCGATATTGTATGCTGTGTCGTTTCTAATTGAGACTCATCCTTGTTTCATCTCATCTGGGTAATTTGAGATCTAAACGAGTCAACCAACAATGCGTGCAAGGAAGGAATCCCCATAATTTAGTCACATCTATTGATAGATGAATACTTTGTGTTTGTTCAGTGAAAACGAATCATTTTTTCCCGTTTCTCATCAATGATTCCTCGCGTGTTTCCTCTAATCTCGAAGAAGTCAAATTCGCAGCTCACTTTTGATACAACCATCTTTTTCCTTTTTTTTTTGTTCAGACGTCATTGACGAGTGGGACGACGAATGTGAACCTGATACTCTTTGACCTCCATTGCATGTAAACAGAAAGGATACTAGACTGGACTGGACTTTTGGACTTCTGGATTCAGTTACCAAAAGAGTCGCAAAGTTACTATCTATCGTCTTAGTTTGATACCCTAGCTTAGCCCGTAACTATTGTCTCAAAAAATACATCTCAAAAAAATGCAAAAAAGAAATATAGATATGTATGAAGCAATACAGATTGATAGGTAAATAAAAATCAAAGAGTTACTTGTGTTCGTTCTGCTCCATCACACTTGTTTCAGGCGGTCAACTTCAATCTAATGGGCCACTTTCCAGTTCTCGCGGTTCAGTGATCTGGTACCGAAATTACGGCGTGAGGACTAGGCTAATTGCGAAGTCGTTTTCATCGATATAAAGAGAAAACGAGTAAAAATTTATCGAACTTCATCGAAGGAGAGTGAAAAAATTATTCGTGAGAGAGGCTTAAAAGTTAAGTGATGGCGGAGAAAATAATCCATAACAGTTTGATTTATGCAAGAAAGCTGCAGCAAAGAAGCAGGTCAAAATTGCCCCTTCATCCAAAGACCGCAAAAACTTTTGAAGGAGAAATTAAAAACAAGTGACGGCAAATTTCCGACACCAAAATTTTTAATGCTTGGACGTACCACTTTTCTAACGTTCCAGAGCTCTCGCTGGACGTCCGTATGCAGCGTTGCCTCACTTGTTCTGATGTCACTATTTAACCGTAGTTTACTTCCTGCTGAATCGTAGCGAGGGCTTACTGTAGTTTGCAAAACGAAACGAAAGTAAACTTAAACCTGTAAATTGTTAAATGAACTCAAACCCTTTCATTTTGGAAATGCAAATCTGTAATTTGCGAAATGGAAAATGTGTAGATCTGTAATTGACAACACTAGAAGTGCAAAATTAGACATTAGTGTCCAAAATCACAAATCGGTAACTAGTGTCCAACATCAAAAGTCAGACGCTGGTGTCCGAAATCAATAACCTTGTCAAAACATCAATCTAACATTTTTAAAAAAATATATTTTTCTATTTATAATTGTTAATGAAATAAACTACAGGTTCACTTTTCCTGATATGATAATAATGAATAACTGATACTGATCACTTGACAATTGTCTTTCTCTGTACCATAATTTCCTCAATTCTTATCTTTGGGAAATTATTCATTTCGCTCTTCTACTCGCACTGGATTTCAATTAGAATTGAATTCTAATTATGTGCCTGTCTCAGTAACTAAATGAAATTGAATGTGACCCTAAATTTAACCCCTGAAAATACGTTGTGGCGCAATAAAAAACCAAAACAATTATCATCTCAGTAGGTATCAGAGACAAGGTTGTGTGAAAAATGCATCAAAGGAGCTTTGTAATTAAGATTTTCGACTTGGTAACCTCAACAGAGCTAAATAAATCCTAAACATTGCAGGCCGCTTATTTACACGAAGTGTAACCCAAACCACCGTTTTACGCAAGTAGTGGCCGTTACGTGTTCTCTATAGGAGGGTTCTCATTATTTTATAAAATAAATGTCCTTCTACTGCTTGCTTTCGGCCTTCATTAAACCGTCTGAAAATATAAATGTTCGGATAAAAGATTCAGCTAAATTCGAGATAGTTAAGAAAGCGGTTTTGTTAAACAACAGCTAAACTTTGTTTAAATAACCGGCCCTACACGTTATAAGCTTATTTTCGAATTGTCAGCTTTGAACTCCCTTGTAATGTTCGAATTACACGAGCTCTAGAAAAGCGTTATCCTCTAAGATCAGAATTTAATATCAATACAGGAAAAATCTTTCTCTTTTTTCCGCGCATTGAAATTTGCAAGACTGAATCTTTCTACGCAAAAACTTGTGGCTGAGGGTAAATCAATTAAGATTTTCATAATATTTGTTTGTTTAGCTGTTGTTCTGTGGGTAACATATCCAATTAATTCGCAGTGCATAGCATTTCTAAACGCATTCGAAGCAGTAACGGAAAAGAGCTGTTGGAAGCTTTTTCGAGGAAACACTGGTTAATACACTTAAAAAAGGCGCCTAAAGGTAATTTAATGTAAAGGGTCTTTCTATTATTTAATCCAATGGAAAAACAGATAAAATTTTAACAATGGGTCCTTTTTGACAAGCCGGAGAGTCTCAGTAGGGTGATGGCTTTTACGGCTAAACGTTAAAAATTTTACCAATTTTGGACTAACAGTTAATTTATTTCCCATATGGTAAAAAAAAAGAAACGTTTACGGTTAGGTTATTTGCGACTGAAAAATTAAATTTGTCAGTTTTTACACCTAACAGCTGAAATATATAGCCGTCATACGGCATTCGGTTAAACCCATTAAAACCACGTACATTAAAGGCTTAAACACTAAACAGATTGAATTTTGGCAGTGAAGTTCCAATTCCCTAACTGTTTAAATACTCTTCATGTAACAGTTTGAGTTATGAGGCTGTCCACAAAACTACTTAAGAGTGGATGTGGAAGCCAACAGTGAACAGGCTGATAAGATACTCTAATTGCAGTAACTTCGTTGTAGGTAACAGAAAAAAGCAAAAAGCTATATCCTAATTTATCGGCATATAAGTATAAGGTCCTAATAAGTATACACCAACCTCTTTCTCTCTTTTTTTTTTTTTAGTTTTGGAATCGCTTGTAATTTTTTAAAAATTTCTAATACTCTCTCAAGAATTTTGAACTAATCAAAACGTGGAATTTTCTGTAAATAAATTACCGAATTGAAAAAAATTAAAGGAGATAAATAAATTATAAGAAGGAAAATAATGGCTTTAATATGCGCATACTTTTCTTTTTCTTATTCTGATACGAACCATTCAAAGCTCAATGAAGCCCTTTAACACCTAAGGGTTGGCGGTCTACACCTTCTCATTAAAGACAATAAGGACCACTTGTGCAGTTTCATTCTTTCCTGTGCAATTTACAGGTGTAGCAAACACTTAATAATGAAGCCGCTCTTTGTCGTGTTGGTCATTCTGATGATTGAAGATATTTTCATTACAGTCCAAGGTAAAATTTTCATTCTCAAATTACGCTACACTTAATTATTCCTCAACTCTTCACTCTTCTCATTTTTTTCTTTTTTTTTCTGGCATTTGCTTTTCAAAGTAGTTGATATTTAAACAATAACTTTGAACTAAGTTTTGTTTCAGTACAGGTAAGGCAAGTTTATGATACAGCAAGTATCCGTGTAAAATCGAGTGTTAATCATTCATTTTCTTCTCAGGAGCGCTACCTGCCGAACGTTCTTTCGTATCTGACTTTCGACTCGCATGTGATCAGGTCGTGCCATTTTAAACCGAAATGAACTTGGGAGCCAACCGACGTCAACATAATAACTCGGAGAAACAAATCTTATTATTATATGCCTACACTTTCACTCAACAAAACGAACGCTGTGAATGGTTGATTCTTGGTCACGGCCCGTGATCAAATTTAAATGTATTCCGACCGGGATAAAACTGCGCAGTTGTTGCCCACGTGCCGAATAAAACGGCATGTTTTGGCCATATGATTGTTTTAGGGAAAGTCTAAATATATAACAAAGCACTTAATGAATGGTCCCTCGGGAAACTAGTCAGTTAGTTTTTTTCCCTTGAGTCCTGATGTTTCCCTCGACTTCGTGTAGGGAAACATCAGGACTCTCGGGAAAACAAAACTAACTGTTTCCCTCGGGACCATACATTAAGGGTAAATTGTTTCTTTAGAGTCATTTAGTAGGTGCCTATTAGAATTCGAGAAAAGGGGGACGCCTTAACTTCGCCAAAATTCCACAGTCGCCCCGGAAATCTCGCTAAAGACGATTGTTCTCTCTTACTTCTGGTCCGGCCACTATATCATCTAATGTACTACCTACCCAAAGAGACTTACCCAACATAACACTAAGGATCAGTCTGTTTCGAATCTTTTCCCATCTAATAATCAGTTCTAATAATATTTAATTGTATATAGATAAATAGATATTTTTTGATTTTAATCCTTTTCTTTTCAGGATAACACGACATAGGGTCAACCTCTATTTCTTCCTCTCCAACATGTTTTATATGAATTGTGTTGCAGGTTCGAAGAACTTTCTCGAATTTTCTCAGGCCCCCCCTGGGGTTCTCTATCGCTTAAATTTTTGGGATGAAATCTAGGCCGCGTTGCTCGGATGTGAATAGCGAAGGATTTTCGGAGTTTGAGTTACCAATCAAAGGGCACCTTCAACGCTATCCACCCTTATAGTTTATTATTAAAATAGAAATTTAAACT